TTTTAAGCTGAAGAATTAAAATTAAAAAAAAAAAAAAAAAAAAAATGAAGAATGCATAAAATTATAAAAATGTGAAAATTCAAATGAAAGCCAATTTAAAAAAATTATTAATAGAAGTAATATTAAAATAACAGATCTGCGCATTTCATCTGTTGGCTCACCGTTTGTGGACAACAGGAAGTGTGCAGCATTTTTCTGAGGAAGCCAGCGGATCTTGTTGATCTTTTCCTCGATTTCCAGACTCTTCAGATAGTCGAACTCCGGCTCGTGACTCTGGAACGTGCTGTAGACGTTATATTCAGCACGGCACTGCGGCAAGTTCTTACTCTGATAGGACAGAGAGATGTCGCATGACCTTTTAAACATCCTACATGACATTAATGACGAAAAAACAAAACTAAAAAAAAAAAAAACTTTAAAAACTGTTTACATTATCTGAAACAAAGCTGAAATTAAATATAAATGTTAGATGACAAACGTAAATGAAAATTAGAAATGTAGCCCTGGCAGCTAAACAAGCTAGAAATAAGTTGAAACTTTAAGTACTAAAATAACTAAAACTGAAATAAAAATTAATTAAAGCTAACAATAGAAATATAAAAAATGCAAAAACTGATAAAAATGACAAAAGCACAAATAAAATGACTAAAGCTTAAAATGAACATGAACATAAAATAAAAGCTTTTATTATATAATAGTATATATATAAATAATTCTAAAACCGCATTGCAGTGTATCATTAAAGGAATAGTCTAACTAAAATGCTCTCAAATTTGCATATTTAAAATCCAACGTGTCGTAATCAATCACAAGACACATGAGAACTAATAATGGTGTGTCTTGAGGTGCCAGTAATAATTATTTTTATTAAATTTAATATTTTTTTCACTATATAAATTACACTATATTTTTTAGTTTTTACTGATTTCCACAAGTATCACAAATATTTCAGGGCTATAAATCACAATTTTACAATTCCCTGAAATGTCTTCATGACCATAAGAACCTTAATGGAAGCATGTCTGTTTGCATACCCATGCATAATATCAAACTTCAGGAGCAAAGATTTAGGAACAGCCCACTCAAAAATGCTCTCAAATTTGTATGTTCAAACCCGGCATGTTGTAAATGATCACAAGACACGTGAGAACCAAGGCTATTATAGTTTTGAATTCGTTTTATTTTAATATCGTTTTCAACTTTGCTATAAAATTCAGTTTAGGTTTTATTAGTTTCATTAATATTTTTGTTAGTTTTTGTGTAGTTTTTATTTTGTGAACACATTTTTATTGAGTTTTTATATAGTTTAGTTTCAGTTTTAATTAAAGTTTAGCAGAATCAACAGATCACTTCCAGAGCGAAGGCCAAAGAAAGACATAGGCATAATTTAACCTTAGTGAGGCAAACGTTTATAGACACAAAATTAACACATGCTGAGATTGATTAGATGGTGAAAGTATACAAATATACACCAAAAGGAAGCAGTCAAGCCTTTTTACTATATAAATCTACGCAAGTTGCGCTTAATGTCATATTTAATGGTGTGCTGAGATATTTCATATGAAAATAATTGTACCCTAATTTGGTTGTCTTTTATCTTATTTAACCATAATCATGATATTGTCATGTCTTGCTCACATTTCCGTGAACAGCCGCGCATAAATCATAACTGGAACTAATGAAATTCAATAATAACGGCAATCGTATTTAACAATAAAGGCTCATATTTGAATATGTTCTTTTCTTTATTTATGAAGAATTATAAGCGTGTGTATGATGTGATTTAGCCTATGCACATTTGTCCGAAAGCCTGGCGGTGATCACAAGATGCTAGGCCAAGTTTTGTATTGTTTACAGAAAGGCGCGTTCTCATCTTTTTTTCTGTTAATTATGTTGCTCTGCGTGTCTGTTTCTCTTCAAAGCACCAACTTGCCTAATGTTGGTTTGATTGCTTGTGTTACATGAGAAAATAAATAATTTTGCCTACCTGATGTTGTAGATTAATGCGGGTTCGGGTCGCGACTCGCGGTCTTTAAGTCAAACGGTTTTGGTCTGGTACAGAAATAAATTAGTGCTGTTGTTGGATAACGGGTCGGGTGTTCTGTAGGGCTGGGCGATATGATGATATTATCGTATATCGACGATGTCTCGTAAGTATCGCGATGCCGATGTCAACAGTCAGGTAACAGACGATTATCGGGAAAAAAATGACAAATTATAAACCTAGTAAGCTGCAAAAATATTTTACATAGCCATAGTCACCATACAGGTTTTTTTGCATGCAAGAATTAAATTATTTAGTAGGAGGGTCGGGAATCGGAATTCCAATTTCGGAAATCAGATCAGATGTGTAAGGTCAGGAATCAATTTGTTATAAAATTACATTTCGATTCTGCGTCTCGATTTCTGCATGCGCATTTATTGTGATTTCAAAAGATTCAACTGCAAGACGACGAAATAGAACTCACTTCTGCGCACACACACGCACACACACGCACACACACACACAAAGCGCACGCACAAAAGCCGCCTCTTATATACGCGAACACTGGACTGAGCTCTCTTTCTTGCGTTCTTACACATTCGAATGGACAAATACACACAGAATTATATCAAAATATTCCATAAATACAATCGGTTATGTCTTAAGTGAACGTAAAGAGTTGAGACAGAAAACAAGGGTGTATTGGATCCATGCATTGACAGCAGCCACTGCCGCCAGTCATTATAATGTTAATCAAAGAACAAAAGAAAAGAAAATCCCCCACTGATCTTGACTGAATCACTTTTGTAACCTCAGTTTATATTTTATTTGCCTGTTGTTCGGCGCTGACTACTGTAATGGCAACGTGCATCTGTGTATGCGATTATTTTGGAGATGCGTTCCAATATAATTTATCCTTATTTAGGGCATAGGCCTATTCTATTTTGAGCTGCAGTTTAATAAAAGTCAAACAGAAAAAAGACAAAAAGTAGCACTGCATGCGTTTCTGAATATTTATTTAAACAGACTGTATAATGATGAAAAACCACAAACATGACAGGTATAATTAAAATACGCAAATTCCTTCAGCGCACATTTCAGTGCAATATTTTTACAGATTTTGTAAACCGTGTATACAATATAATTATGTTTAATTAAGCTGAGATATAGCACTATAAATTATTAATTCATTTGCAACAAAACTATAAAGTTTTGTTGCAAACAGATGAAGACATTAGCAGGCTTCTCAGCTCGCCCCTCAACATGCATGCGCTCGGAGTTTCGGCAGCCCAACACTGAATATTATATTGTGGGCTTTGTATTTTGATTAATAAAATAAAAATGATAAAAATTACAATATAAAAATGAAATTTAAATTACCCTGCTTCTAACTAAATAAAGCAGTTACTTTTATTTAGTTAAAAACGGGCCGAAAGAGACCTCCGAACTAGTAGGCTACCAGAAAGGAAAAAAAAAAAACCTTAATGTTTAGGCTCAGAATTAATTTTTAATCCCTGCATGATTTTAGTCATACATGATAAATATCAAATACGTTATAGCTTGACTACAAGTTTAAAAACAACGCTGCAGTTGTTATAATTATGAAATGTGTCTACACAGGCGATAATGCCAAAAAGAAAGAGAAACATCGGAAAATAGGCATATTTTATTCAAGGCATTATTATACGACATCAACATGCATTTATCATTCTTACAATCACCATGTCCAACTTCACCATGATGAACTTAAAATTGGGTTCTATTATTTTTCCTCAACAGTTCTCCTCACAAAACGGAATTCATTTCAAACACAAATTTGATAAGAACATAGTGGAAATTATTAGCAACACCAAAATACCAGCAAAGCTAATGTTTTCTGTTAGTTTAAGCACAAACTAAGAAAAGTAAAACCAAACTTTGTGGCAATAATTAAGACCAAACTGAACATGGTGTGTTTATGGTGCGTGTCGGCAATGTTGTCTCGGCGGGGGCGGGGGGTGGTGGAGGTGGGGCTTAGGCAGACGATATTATCGGATATCACGATATTTTTAAAGGCGATTATCGATAAGATATTTTTGACATATCGCTCAGCCCTAGTGTTGTTAAGTACTGCTGGTGCACGTTTACCAAACAGGACCCGTGCAGGACTCCGCTTTGCGTCTCTCCGAGGGATAACCCCATGTGCGTGATGCGCCATTTACAGGTATTTCCCTAAACTGTCACACAGCTCATATATTTTTCCGCCAAGGAGTGAGAACATAATGATTACGAAAACGATAATTTATTTTTGCTAACTATTATTTTATTTCAGTTAGTTTTTCCAATAACTGTTGTTAGCTTTAATTTCGTTTTAGTTTTCCAAATATTTTGACGTTTTTATTTTATTTCAGTTTACGAAAAAAATTTTTCATCAATTCTCATTAACCTTTGTGAGAACCAATAACGTTTTGCGTGGCATGTCTTGAATATGTGGACTATGTATTTACAGTCTCCTTTTGCATTTCGAATAACAGTTTTAAGCCTGAAAAGCTCATTGACACTCCTCTTTTTAACTGTTGTGTGTAATGGACTGTAATCCATCTCACCTCTTGCTCTTGCTGGAAGATCACTATTCTTCCACCTCGATCTCCTGTGGCCAAAAGCTCCCCGGAATGACTGAACTCCACCGCAGAGATGATGTCAGCTGCAACACACAATGATGAATTACTGAAAAGAGCAACTATGAGAGCATATTGTTTCTCTGAATGTTTCTAAGAAGATAAGTGACTGCTTGTGTTTGAGGGCGGGAACATGTGGAGCCTGGCATTAAAAGCATCTCGGGCATCTGTACACACAGTACCGTCCAACAACCCCCCATCCCTGCCTTCCCTAACAATAACAACCGCTCTCTCTTTCTGTCTGGCGTATTATTGTGACGGGCGGTAGCGTGGTGCTGGGCTGTGCCATGTTCAGACTCAAGCCAGAGAACAAATCCTTTATGCTAAAAACACATGCACAATTTAACCTCATATAAATATAAAGAAACCTATTTTGACAAGTGAGAGCCAAAGTACAACTGAAACCCCACTTATCATTTCTAAGTATTATAAATATCATTCTCAGACCTTTTGAACTTTTACATGCCCCATCAGAATTACATTCTAAATTATTTTATGAATAGACCTCTCAGACATGCACTTTTCATAGCTGAACATTTTATAGAAAATTATAAATTATCTTCGCTGATGTGTTTCCATGAGCATAATATCCCTGATGGAAGCATGTTTGCATACTCAAATTCATAAACGATCATGAACAAATTCATTCAAACAAAAGGGTAAAATATGGCAACTAATAAATAAATCAATCAATCAATAATCAACTTTAGTAACTTGAATAATATCCAGCACAGTTCTCAAATAATGCTAAAATGACAAAAAGAAAGATTGTACAAGCTTTGAAGATATCATATTAATTTATCATGGGTTTAAACTTTACAGTGGTAACTATTGCATTTTGTGAATAAATAACTATAAATAAAACAAAAACTTTGCAAACTTGGATAATATCCAGCATGGTTATCAAAAATGATACTAAAATGGCAAAAATAAGGATTTTAAAAGCTTTGAAGATCAGACCATTCTGTTTTTGCTTCAAATTTCGAAATTATACAGTCTAATTTAGATTAAAAACTACTCATGCAGCATGTACGCTGAATCTTTGTTTGACAGTTCTCAAATAATGCTAAAATGACAAAAAGAAAGATTGTACAAGCTTTGAAGATATCATATTAATTTATCATGGGTTTAAACTTTACAGTGGTAACTATTGCATTTTGTGAATAAATAACTATAAATAAAACAAAAACTTTGCAAACTTGGATAATATCCAGCATGGTTATCAAAAATGATACTAAAATGGCAAAAATAAGGATTTTAAAAGCTTTGAAGATCAGACCATTCTGTTTTTGCTTCAAATTTCGAAATTATACAGTCTAATTTAGATTAAAAACTACTCATGCTGCATGTACACTGCATCTTTGTTTGGATTAGAGGTCGACCGATGTATCGGTTTTGCCGATTAATCGGCACCGATAGTTGATTGCTGGAACTATCGGTTATCGACAAAAATCCATGCCGATAGTTTTCTGGGTTGCGTCCATTGCTGGAGCGGCTGAGAAGGGTCTGCTGTCATTACACAGTGCGAGAGCGGCCTCTAGTGGTTGAAATCACTGACAGCACGTGCTATTTGTTTAGACACGTGATGCTGCACGCTGAACAGAGCGGGGAACTTCAGATGCGGATTTAAATGCAGCCGACAGAAAATCCTGCCACGCCACAGAGCGCCATTTACATAGTTTTCCTTTAAATTACATTTAATTGGTCCCGAATCGTTGTTAATGTACATAATGAATTGTGTATTGTGCATTTTCAGCAAAACGTTTGTCTTTCTGTGGCTCGAATAAAGTCTGTGTGCTTCATTTATAGAGCTGTAATATAGGTTGCGCGGAACGTGGCGCGTCCAGAGTGTGTGTGATACCGGTGAGTTCTCCTAGACTCAGCGCTGCGCTTTAATTTTGATTAGATAATCATCAAGTGTTCAAGAATAGAAACAGTTAAAGTGTGAGAGTATACATACAATATCCATATGTACATCATTTTAATGCTATAGCCTTTGTGTATATATTTAAAGATGTGCATCTTTAAGCATGACTGTTGAAATGAAATGGTAACACTTTAAAATAAGAGTCCATTTGTAGCATTAAGATTAATGAAAGCTGTGTAAGTATTGTTCCTTGTTAGAGTGTGTTAATTTCAACATTTACTATTACTACTATTATTTTTATTATTATTTTTTTTACTACTACTAGTATGGTTCAGTACTGTTTTTGTTAATAAAGCACTATTTTAGTTTTTGTTCAGTATCAATTTTAAAACTATCTGCTAATTAATCGGTATCGGCCAATGTGGTCCAACCTAGCTAAAGGTATCGGCAAAATCCACTATTGGTCGACCTCTAGTTTGGATCATGATTAAAATCCAGTGGTTGCCTCTAATTTCTAAATGGAAAGAGCACAGACAAAGCCTTAGTTTGTTCATAATAAGAGATTTCTTTTGTATAACTGACTTGTTTGTTTTAAAATTTCAATTTAGTTTTGTTATATTTCAATTTCACAAAGAAACGTGCAGCAATAGCCTAATAAAACAACACCTTTTAATTTACTGTATAATGTCTTCAATCTCATTTTGTTAAAAAAAAAACAAATCGTGAGAAAATTGAATCGTGAACTCAAAATCGTGAGTGGAGTGAATCGTTACATCCCTATACATAACATCAATGCAAGAGTAAAACTTAAAACAACAAGTCAAAATGACTAAAAGAAAGATTTGACAAGCTTTGAAGATCTGTTTATAATGGAACTTATTACGGTGTTACAGTAGCACCGCAGCCGACTCGTCAATAAAGGAGTACAAAACAGCGTTTTCTAGCACCTGTCGCTTACTGATTATTTGGAATTATATCATCTGTTAATATCACATGCACTTTTTTGTTTGTAGTTTTTTTAGTTTGTTACTCAGACGCAGGCAGTGTGCTGCATGAGACAAAGAAGTAATATAGCCAACACAACCGCATAGCCGCTCTTTAGTGTAGATGCATGTTGATTTTATCAGATGATGCCCTGATTATAAATGAGAGTGACTCCTGGTTAACATGTATTAAAAGGGGTCGTGTTTAGTCACTATTTAGTGTGGTATTTTTTGACAATGTTTACTCATCATGACAGTAAAATAGGGCATTCTAAGTCAATATACTGCAGTATTTCCTCTCAATCAGTAGAAAATATGGTTAACACCCGGTCATGCATGAAAAAAAAATACTGTCATGTACCGTGAAACCGGTATCATTTTGAAAAATACCGTGATATACATGTTTGGTGTATACCGCCCAGCACTAGTACTGAGGTTACCGTGGTAAAGCAGGGATGTGTCTTACCTTCGGCTACATCATCATCTACGGCTCCTTTGACCTGGGACAGACACCAGCGGCTCTGGCCCTCTCCATCTCCTGGAACCGAAGACAAATTCAGACTGTATGTCCAACACGAAGAGCACATTAAAAAAACACTATCTGTGTCCACCACCACAAATGTGCCCTAAACTACCACACTTGTGAAGGACTGGAGACGTGCACAGTTTAGCTCTATAGAAAAATAAAAAAATCTTTCATGGAAAAACAAACATTTCCAGGAAGTTTGCATGGATTTGAGGGAGAGCTGTTGACCAGGACTGTGTCCAGCAGCCTGTGCCACACATCTGACCACAGCAGCACCAAACATCTGATGATCTACACATGCATCATGACACAGAGGTGGGACCGCATTTCTGATTCAACATCATGTGCAATTCAGGCCAAACTCAAATCAAATTCAACACACACAAATTAAATGATCTGCAAACGACGCCGAACACTAAATGCAGTCCAAATAACAGCTTTACTTTAAAGCAACGCAACGCACAGCAAAACAATACATGACTGCATGAATGATATTAAACGATATTCACGAAATTAAAGTTGCATATACCGTCCATGCTGGGCTGGATCTGATTCAGTCCTGGGCCTTATTTTTCGATGTTGATTTCAAGCGTCTTTTCCTCTGACTCGGTTATTTCATAAAGATATTCTAATAAGAGAAGGTTGGTTTTCTTAACAAAGTGCTAGAATACGGTTTGATTTCATAATTCCCTCCGTACAGAAGCGTGTTTAGCTTTTTTTATCATTCTATCACCACACGCGCCGAACGACGTTCAGTGAACGTGCGTGGTCCGCTGACGTCACGACTCACGCACGACGCACGACAGCGAACACACGTGGTCACGTCCAAAATCACGACTACTTTTTTGATAAACTGGTGACGACAGTTTGTAGTCCAAAACGAAAGGTTACTTGGAATTTTTTTTGTGTGTGCCCTCAATGTCTAAATCTATTTAGTTTTTTGTAAAAACCTTTCAACTAACAAAAGCCAATTACTTATTGACATCATCTTCTAGGAAGTGACCATTTTGGTGGGAAAACAACCCGTAACTGGGTTAAATTACAATAAATGTGCCTACAAATATAGTGTTGTATTATGATAATATAAAAATGATATATAATCATAATAAAATTATATTAATTTTAAATTTTATTTAATTATAAATTATATTGCCATCTCAAAGAGGCACAAAATCACTTTCACAAACTTTTTCATTAACTGTTACCTCCTGGCAGGGCCGTTTCTAGCCAATTTGACGCCCTATCCCCCCCCCCCCCCCCCCCCATTAACTATTTAATAAAATATTTTTTCAACCTTTCAGACACCAGTTGCTTGTCACATTCAAATTGGTTGTCATAGTAACGACACTAATTTGTGGAGATTCAGTGCATTGAGTTCCACAAATCTGAATGCATTATTTGTAAATTGACTGTTAAGATAAACATTTTGCACAATTTAGTATCTGTAATATGTCGTCTGCTAAATGACTAAATAAATAAAATAAATAAATAATATCAGTGTGTTGCCACTGGATGCATGTATAGTCCGATGTAATAAAGACATTGCACATAATTTACACATAAATTAGTTTTATTACATTTTGATTTGGATACTATATACTATACTACTACATATTATCAATGGCTACTTTGTCTTTATCTGTTTTTTGTTCAATTGTTTTGTTGTTGTTTCTTGAAACATTGATTTAAAGTGTCAGTTATTGCATTATTATTTCAGTCAAACCTATAAAATCCCCTTTGTTACCCCAAACTACATTTAAAAGCTTTATCAGTGACATAAAAGTAACCAATGCAGCTACTTAATCATTTGCTACTCGTTAACACGTTAACATCCCCTTTAAATAACGTGACGCTCTGCCGTCTATGACGCTGCTCCCATTAAGCGCTGTTGGAAGTGAATGAATTGATTCAGCATTTCGACACCTCCGTAAG